TTTAAACTTAACTTTTGCAAGGTGCAAACTCAGCACATACATCTACATGGAGAACTCTGCAGAACACCTGGAAGGCTCAACACCAAAACAGCTACATCATTATCTAACTGCATTACGGTTTTCTTTTTTTTTTTTCTCCTCACCTCAACTCATGTAACAAGTATTTAGGCTGGGGCCTGAAATTCCCATATCCAGTCTAACTGACCTTAACCATAAAGGTAATTTTCACCTAATTGTCAAGTTAGATTACCTCTTTAGTCTTCCTCATCAGACTGTAAATATACGTTCCTCTCTCTTCTTGGAAGGACAAGAATTAAAGAAAGAAAAGATATGCAAAAAGATTGAAATCCATACAAACTATAGTTAAATACCATGAATTTAAGAGATGTAATCAGGAGGTATCAGATTATAAGTCAACAGATTCTTGAACTTAACTTTAACCATATGAGTAACAGTCTCATTATTTCTAGTTATTCATTGCCCTGTTTCAGAGTCAAAGAATCACAGCATGGTTGAAATTGGAAGGCACCTCCAGTGATCATCTAGTCCAACCCCCTGCTCAAAGTGGAGTGAGCCAGAGCAGGTTGGTCAGAGCCACCTCCTATGGGACTTTGAACATCTCCAAAGATGGCGAGTGTACAATGCTTCTAATTTTTTTGGTTTTCTGATACTTAAAAAAAAATCTCCAATTCCATGTTCTCATTGATTCTTGCAAAGAAATTCTTTCCTACTGGTTACTGCAATAATATTTTGACTATAGAGGGTAAAAAAGAACAGCATTTTCTTGTCTAAATAACATCCAACATCAGTTCCATTTATCAAATCTTCCTAATAGAAGAAAACATGTAAAACCTTCCTGAATGTCTTTAAATCTCTCTGACAAATTTCATTAGCATTATTTGACCTTAAAAATTACAAAATCTACTTCGAATTTGCAGTCTAATAGTACCTTCACCTACGCTATGCTCCCAGAAAAGGGTTAATGTCATGCATATATATAGACCAAGGACTTTTTTTATTTTAATGGCAAGGCAAGAAAGAAATTCACTTAATGACAAGTTCTTGGACTAATGTATTATTCATTTTGTTATGTGACAGAACAAAATTGTATCCATAAATATATAATGTTGTACACCACTTTTTAGTGTAGTTTACATTTATGAAATAATTGGCTGTCTTTCACCACATTATCCTCTCTTTATTCACTTTTTTAAGCGGATGTCATAAAACAGAGTTCCTGACACAGAAGATGCGTTCATTCCAGGAACAGACAGCAACTGGCCTGGATAAATCTATAAACTTCAGCCTCTGTTTCTCAAAACATTTTCTAGTCTCTGGAAGGATTTTGGAGTTACCTTTACAGTTTTTTCCCTCACATAAACTGCTACTTTACTCTTTTTTTTCTTACTATGTTTTTTTAAATGTATTAACTCATATGAGGTAAACAAATTGTATCTAATTATCAGCATTCTTACAGTTATGTATTTAATGATATGTGGGGTTTTGACTTAAATAATAAAAATACTCAAACCTCCTTACTCGATATCCTAAAGCAAAGCAAACCACAAGCAGAGAAACATCTCAGCACAAGCAGTGTCCTTACCAGAGCTGAGTGTAGGCAACACTGGCCACTATCAGTCCCAGAAGAGTCAAGTGGCCAGCTAAATCCCAGATACACTCAGTGACCCCAACCAGAAGCAAAAGGAGACAAGGCAGAAGACAGGACTGGTTACAAAACTACAGCATAGGGCCAAAGCCCATCCAGGAAACAGGGCTGGATGCTTGCATGAAGGGCCCATCCAGGACCCAAGCTGGTAGCAGCATCAGTCTGAGGTTCATCCAGGACTGAGGGACTCAGCCTGAGCTGAACTAGAGCTTCTGGGCAGGTGTGGGTGGATGTCCCAGGTGAGGCTGGTCAGGGCCATCAAGGCCTAGCAGTACCCTCAGAGGACAAACACTTTCCAGGTTCTACTACTTTGCTTAAATTTTGTTTGCCTTCATAAATTGTTAGGAGGAGTATTTGTGGATTATTTTATTTTCTACAGTCACCTGCATGGTCTCTCCAGTTGCTGCCCTTGCATGCTTCAGGTTCACATACAGTTCTGGGTTAGAATTATCTATGTTGGAATGGGCCTTTAAGATTATTGAGTCCAACCATCAACCTAATACTGACTAAATCATGTCCCTCAGCACCACATCTACCCATTTTTTAAATACCTCCAGGGATGGTGATTCAACCGCTTCCCTGGGCAGCCTATTACAACTGACAACCCTTTCTGTGAAAAAACTTTTCCAAATATCTAGTCTAAACCTCCCCTGGCACTACTTGAGGACATTTCCTCTTGTCCTATGGCTTGTTTCTTGGGAGAAGAGACTGACCCCCACCTTGCTACACCCTCTATTCAGGTAGTTGTAGAGAGCAAGGTCTCCCCTTCAGCCTCCTTTTCTCCAGGTTTGACAACCCCAGCTCCCTCAGCTGCTTTTAATCAGACTTGTTCTCCAGACCCCTCACCAGCTTCATTGCCCTTCTCTGGACACGCTCCAGCACCTCAATGTCTTTCTTGTAGTGAGGGCCCCAAAACCAAACACAGTACTCAAGGTGGGGACTCACTAGTGCCGATTCAGCCCGTCCAGATCCCTCTGTAGAGCCTTCCTACCCTTCAAGCAGATCAACACTCCCACCCAACTTGGTGTCATCCGTGAACTTACTGAGGCTGCACTCAATCCCTTCATCCAGGTCATTGATAAAGATATTAAACAGAACTGGCCCCAGTACCAAGCCCTGGGGAACACTGCTTGTGACTGGCCGCCAACTGGATTTAACTCCATTCACCACCACTCTTTGGGACTGGCCAGCCAGCCAGTTTTTAACCCAGCAAAGAGCATGCTCACCCAAGCCATGAGCAGACAGTTTCTCCAGGAGAAACTCACTTCAGCCTGCTCCCCTCTTCTCCTGCCCTGTACCAGCCACAAGACCCAGGCTGAGGAAACTCCAGCAGGCAGCCCCTCTAACAGCAGGCACCACCTGAGCATCTCAGCCAAAACATTGTCAGGCAGGTAACAAAATCTACCACTCCACACATTTGTATGCCACTAAAAATTTTACAGATCTGCATCCTTTTGCCCATCAATGACAGATGAGTCTCATGGACACAAACGGGAATTTCACAGTGCCAGACAAATGCAGCTCAACTGCCAAAACCAACACTGAATCATTGCTTGAGCAGCAATTAAACTAGAACAATGCAGATACCGAAGCCTTCCTTTAATCATTCTCCCAATCCTGTGTTAATTAGCTAGGCTGCAGTAACTACAGAAATGATGAACCTATGTGAGAATAAAAAGTAAAATTATATTAAAAATGCAGTAAATTATACAACACTCTTTCCTATCAAAATATTTTAAAATATTCATGTCCAAAAGTACATATCCTGCAAAGATCCTGGGACTGTTGATTAGACTTCTTTGTAATGTGGATCTCTTAACTGCCACTACCGATCAAATTAAAAGGTGGCATTTAAGAGCTGCCAAGGCTGGGCAACTCCAGTGGGCATGGACATGGTGTTTATTAGACATCCAGAGCAGAGGCTGGTTTGCAAAGGGCACATCAGCTTCACCCCTGTGGTAAATGAATGGCCAGGGGCCTCGTCGCACAAAACCAAGCTTCTCTGTTCCTCACAGTGGCTGCTTGGCGCAGGTACACTGCACAGGCCTGAAAACCATGTTTCTGTGTGAAATGATCCGAGGGCTGGAGCCCCTCTGCTGTGAGGACAGGCTGAGTTGGGGTTGTGGAGAAGACAAGGCTCTGGGGGTCTCCCAATACCTGAAGGGGCTACAGGAAAGATGGCGAGAGACTCTTTATCAGGGAGTGGAGTGATAGGATGAGGGGGAGTGGTTTTAAACTGAAAGAGGGGAGATTTAAATCAGGTATTAGGAAGAAATTATTGACTGTGAGGGTGGTGAGACACTGGCCCAGGTTGCCCAGAGAAGCTGTGGCTGCCCCATCCCTGGAGGGGTTCATGGCCAGGCTGGATGGGGCTTGGAGCAACCTGGTCTGGCCGCCGCTGTGGCGGCTCATGGCGGCGCCGGGGGAAGGGGAGGAGCGGCGGCGCTTCCCGGTCTTCTCCATCCCGTCTCCCCGCCGCCGGCCGAGCAGCTGCCGGAGCGTAACCCCCTCCCTCTCCTCAGGGCCGTCCTCCGGTGGCGGCGCGGGGAGCGGTGTGCGGCGGCGGGCCCGGCTGGACCCCCGGAGCAGCAGCAGCAGCCTTCGCCAGGTCGGTGCCTGCGCCTCCCCGGACAGGCCCGCCATGGTCTGCCGGGGCCGAGCCCCCTCCGTGCCCGGCGCGGAACCGGAGCCACTGCCCTTTCCGAAAGCCGTTCTTCATTATGATTCCTTTAACGTTGCCTTCTCCTCTGGTGACTAAGCGCTGTGCCCGGCCGGGGTGCGGGGGGCCGGGGCCTGCGGGAGGCCACAAGCTGCTGCTGCCGCCTTTGGGACCCCCCCGTCCCGGCTCCGGGGCTGGGGTCCCCGCGGGGCTCTGCTGAGGGAAGGCGCTTCATGATGTTTTGAGTTTTTGCTGTGATTTTTTTTGTCGTTTTTTTGTTGTTTGTTTTGGTTTTGTTTTGTTTTTTTAAATAAACAGGGTTGGAAGCGTGCTGTGAGAACCGGGGTTGGTTTCCTGGTAAAATTTGCTCATGCTTTGTCATCAGTTCTGAAGAGGCAGCGTTCACCATCAGGATCCTGTAAAAATGTGTTTTAAGGTCCCTTCCAACCCAAACCACCCTGTGATCCTACGATAAAAGAGGGGTAGCACCACTGACATAACTGCCTAGGTCTTAAAAATACCACAGTTGTTTGCCCCTTGCCAGCACGCACCTGCCCCCCTATGTCCGGGCCGCTCTTGGCCGCGGGGCCGCGGCGGGAGGCGGCTCCGCGGCCCGGCCCAGCCGGCCCGAGGGGCGGCACCGCCGCCCGCCCGCCCGCAGAGGGCGCCCTGGCCCCGCCGCTGTGGCGGCTCATGGCGGCGCCGGGGGAAGGGGAGGAGCGGCGGCGCTTCCCGGTCTTCTCCATCCCGTCTCCCCGCCGCCGGCCGAGCAGCTGCCGGAGCGTAACCCCCTCCCTCTCCTCAGGGCCGTCCTCCGGTGGCGGCGCGGGGAGCGGTGTGCGGCGGCGGGCCCGGCTGGACCCCCGGAGCAGCAGCAGCAGCCTTCGCCAGGTCGGTGCCTGCGCCTCCCCGGACAGGCCCGCCATGGTCTGCCGGGGCCGAGCCCCCTCCGTGCCCGGCGCGGAACCGGAGCCACTGCCCTTTCCGAAAGCCGTTCTTCATTATGATTCCTTTAACGTTGCCTTCTCCTCTGGTGACTAAGCGCTGTGCCCGGCCGGGGTGCGGGGGGCCGGGGCCTGCGGGAGGCCACAAGCTGCTGCTGCCGCCTTTGGGACCCCCCCGTCCCGGCTCCGGGGCTGGGGTCCCCGCGGGGCTCTGCTGAGGGAAGGCGCTTCATGATGTTTTGAGTTTTTGCTGTGATTTTTTTTGTCGTTTTTTTGTTGTTTGTTTTGGTTTTGTTTTGTTTTTTTAAATAAACAGGGTTGGAAGCGTGCTGTGAGAACCGGGGTTGGTTTCCTGGTAAAATTTGCTCATGCTTTGTCATCAGTTCTGAAGAGGCAGCGTTCACCATCAGGATCCTGTAAAAATGTGTTTAGAGAATAGCCAGAGACAACATACAATTCCCAGCATTACCCCAGTCAGTGTTTGAAGAAGCCCTGAATTACTCCTTAGCTTAGCTCCACTTCTCCTTTTCCCCAGGAGTAATTAAATTATGAATACGGTGCAACTGAACATCCTTTTGGATTTCAAGCCGCTATTAGCTGCGATTTAGAGAACTTGCAAATCTGCCAAACACACATCTCTGACATCTTCACACATTACTAGCAGTGTCTCGTTATTTGACATCCAGGAGCACGCAGCAGCCAGAACACATGGATGCACACAGCAGCTTGGTGGTTGGGGAGGCAAAGAATCTATGGCAAGTCTCCCAAATTCTGGGGAAAGCTTGCTTTTCCTTCTCTGTGCTATAGGGCTGTTCTTAATGGAATGGATTTCACTTTTAAACCATTGGCTATTACAGTTTGCACATTTTGACTGCAGAATAAGGGATTAAAATAAGAAAAAAGAGTGTCTGAACGGGAGTCTCAAGCTACAGATTCCTTATTACCAAGTATCTTACTCTGTAATGGTTTTATTTCTAGCTAGACAAACACTAAACCTTTTTAGAAAGGAATGATGTCAAGGTTCCAAGTTAACTGTTCTGTGAAAGTAACACCTTCACTGTAACTTTTCCAAATAGTAGTAACTAGTATTTGGGCAGTAATCTAAGAAAGAATATAGGGTTACAGGCAAGGAATTGTTATAGGAACATAAATCACCTTTTAATATTATTTTCTTTTCTCCTCATTGGCAGCTTAAATACTGTAGGAAGAAAAGAAACGTCATAGCAATGTCCTTAACCTATTTTCAGGTGCAAAGCATTTACTGCAACAAAAGAAAAGGTTTTTTTAAATGTTGAGGAACAGTTCAAATCTCTACGCAAGACTGTGTATTTTGAGAGAGACCATCTGTATTGGTTTAGCTCAAACACCATTATTCTTTTGAGGTGAATATGTGGTTATGAAATACTTCAGTGTCAGAAGACATAGCTTATTTGGTGAAGGGTGTATGCTAATATGGCACAGCCAGTCCAGGTGTGAAAATAACTGAACATCACTGACACTGTTGCCTTTTCCCTTCCCATCCATGGCAGGAGTTGTTCAGATTTTCTGTCCAATACGTTTAGCTGATGACATCCAGTTGTTCTAGCTGCTGGTGGAATTGCTGGTTTTGGTGATCAAGCTATTACCAGGACAGCGTATTTGCTGGGGATTTAAGAAAAATAACAATTATTGTAAGATTAAAAATACAATCACATGTACTGACAACATGAACATTATTCTACTGCATAAACATTAAGTAATAGCAGCCCAAGAATATCCACATGCTTTAAATGTGTTAAGTGTGTTGTGTGGCAGGAGGCCAAAGCTCGAGTCTTCAGTCATCTGGGAAGTGTAAGTGGCCCATCTAATTCCTACCACTTTTTAAGCTGTTTGGTTTTCTGTAATAGCTGCAGGGTTTTGGAGCAGGGTATAGGATGAGATCAGGTGGCTGAGTCTGAATTGCCTTGTTTAGACTTGCTACCACATAGTCCTTGATCTTATAAGAGAACTTTTGCATGTGTGAGTCCAACTGCAGTCATGATATTCATACATGGTTTTAAATCCCATGTTAAACCTAATTTTTCAGACGTGGTTTTAAAATACCATGGTCAAGTTTCTTTTTTTTTTTTTTTTTTTTT